GTTCTAAAGACTAATTTTGCCTTATTGGCCTCACTAATAACATTAATTTTTATGGAAAAAATATTAATTATTAATATTATATATCATGATAGTTAAAATAATTAGACTATGGAGGATTCTTTATTTATTTTATTTAGAAAAATATCATTATACACTATAAAAATAATGATAAAGATATATATAATTATATATTATACATATGAAATAAATAAAAATTATATATTAGTTACACCGGTTTGACTGGTTCGACCACTGGTCTAACCAGTGAACCATTGAACCAGTAGTTTCACCGGTTCGATGACCGATTCGGTTTTCAGAACATTGCTATTTATATGAACTAGTACCCTTTTACTAATGCACATACACGGGCGAGATCCATTTGAAAATTTTATAAGAATAAAAGGTATTAATAAATTCTATTTACAATGTAAAATTTAGAAGGGCACAATATTATATATATGTGACTAGTCCTTTTTCGAAACGACAGAGGTATTATAAAACAGACAAAGTGCGAAAAGAAAACCAGCCAAAAGCTGAAAGATACAACTATCAGTTGAATAAGTTGGGAGGCAGACACGAAGGTCGCCTAGAAGCCGAACCTAGCAACACTTGAATCACATCACAACACTACACATCAAAATATGAAACTAATGGCTCCCAAGTGGAGAATGAGAAAGAACGACTCCAACATGGTAATACCCACTCCCACTCGGGTAGGCGACCCAAACAAAAAACACAAAACTAAACCAAAGAACACAAGACTAAACAAACTCAACAAACACACATAAAACAACTACAAACAAAACACACAACCCTCCCTCATAAATGACAACCGAAGTAGTCATCAGACAAGGCTGACTCCGAGGAGAGATCCTAAGCACATGAACCGCGCCGGCCACTGCCTAATGCCTAACAAAGACGAAGCTCCCACCTCCGAACCAAACTAAAATTGGTCATTTTAAAAATTATCAATATTGTTTAAGGTCAAAATTTTTAATTATCGTGGAATTACATTTAAATTAATATATTATGGTGAGTCATAATTTTTTTTATATATAAATATCCCAGATTGGGATGGGGGTTGAGGCTACACCCCCGACCTGTGAATATAATGGCCCAGATAGGGCTAAAAAGTCAATAGTCTACATCCAAGTCGAAAATACATAGAGCAACATCAAAAACAGAAAAAATAAAAAGTACAAGGATCACAAAAATAACCAATGTGGGTCTAAAATCAAATCCTCATAAAAGGTCGTCCTGGACAGAGTGACCTGGCATGGGGTCCAAAATGTCAAAACTAGTCAGGGGTAGGTGGTGGCGGTCGACCGAATCTGAAGGATGGGTACTTTAACTGGTCCATCTGAATGAGCGTTCGAAGCCGAAGGGGAATGTCCTCAGGAAGAAGGGTGCGTCTCTGGGGTATAGATGCCCCCTTGCTAGCAAGGAAATCAGCGGGCCGATTCCCCTCCCGAAATATGTGTGAGACATGGTAATGGATCGAGCAGAGGGTGTCTCTGATACGCATAAGAGGATGCTGGATCTACCATGAGCCCTGGTGGCCAGATGTCAAAAGTGTGATGACAGCCGCAGCATCCATCTCTATCCAGACATGAGAGGAGATTGAGGCGGCAATCTCAAGACCAAAATTATGTAAGTCATAATTTAATAAACATGATTTACAACAAAATTGTAAAGCTCTACATTTGAAAAACTAATTTTATACATGTCTCTATTATTATGTGTAACAGGCTGATTTTTTAATTCATATTTTCAGTTAATATTATTAAGACTGTGATTTTTTTTTTTTTAATTTTCAAATGTATTCAGTCAAAAGATTATGTGATATTCATATTTTTTCTTTTAATTTTATGAGGCATTTAATGAAAAAAATAAATGTTTTCATTCAATAAAAATATTGACTTTATATATTTAAACCATAAAAAACATTCATTATTAGGATGTAAAAAAAATGATTTCATTGATATAAAAATACAAATAAGTTATTTCAAGTTTTTATAATAGTTGAATCACAATTATCTTGTCAAATGTCATCGTTGACGTTAGACGTCAACCATAATTATAAGGGCATATTTATGAGTAATTAAGGGTACGAGCTTAACCGTTTTGTGGTAATGTTTGAACAAATTTTATGGTAGCAAAACAATAGTTATAAATTAGGAAATATAACAAGAGAGCAGAGGCCTCCAACTATTATAAAGATCAAAATAAAACAACTGCAAGGGATTTTGTGGAAGAAATATGGGGTAGCATTCTTAATGAATTTGTCATGCTTATTCTGACGCCTGAAAGTCTGAATTTATACACGAAAAGATGAAAACAAAATTATAATTATGAGGGCGGATTTATGAGAAATTAAGGGTAAGAGTGTAGCTATTTTTTGGGAACGTTTGAACATAAATTGAAGTAAAAAAATAGTTACAAATTGGAAAATATAACAAGAAAACATAGACCGCCAAGTATTATAAATAAATCAACATAAAACATCTACAAGGGATTTTGAGGAAGAAATATGTAATAGCATTTTTAATGAATTTGCCATGCTCATCATGATGCCTGAAAGGCTAATTTATACACGAAAAAAAAAAGTAAAAACATAATGATGGTCAAGTGTCAACTAAGGGAGTGGGGGAGTGACACGTTCTCCTATGCAAAAACCTATCTTTTGATGATGGGACCGACTGAGCGGTTGCTTTATTAGTTTGTTTGTTCGGTTCTTGTTCATACTGCAAAGAGATCGACAATCTTCAGTGACATGTAATGGCCAATAGATTGGCGTTTAAGTTTAGATGTAGATCGGCACAAGATTGGTGGTGTAAACTTCGTGGGTTGTTAATTTCACAATTTGGGTCTGGATCGAGCTAGGCCCAATATCCATCGAGAGCAACTCGTACCTCGGTATTAGGGGTTGGCCCAATATAGAACGAGTGATTCAAATCAACAAAATGATCGCATCATGGATGATGTGATCGTTCCTATTCCCAATATGGTCTTACAGCCAAAAATCACGGTCCTAGAGCTAGAAGACAAATCATTGAAAGGCAACGAGAGAGAGGAGAAGAGAATGTGTGTAATGACTACTTTTTCGACAATCCAACCTATCTTGAAAATGTTGAATATTTTGCATGCATAAGCATGTTTTACTTCATATAGTATGAGAAATCACCACAAACGATGAATATTTCCAACAAAGACGTGATGCCACTAGTAGGTTGGTATTTCACCATTGAAGAAATGTACTGCAGTTATCAGGGTGTTGGCCTATGGGACATCAGTGGATGTTGTTGATGAATACTTGCGAATAATTAAAGTTGTAACAAGAGAATCTCTCATGAAATTCGTAAAATGCGTCATTTCTTAACTTAGGCAGCGAATACCTCAGTAGGCTTAATGAACAAGATTTGGCAAGAATACTTCATGCGGGGGAGCAACGTGGATTCTTAGGAATGATGGGCAGTATTGACTGCATGTATTTGGGATGGAAAAAATTGTCCTACTTCATGGGTTGGGCAATATGCATGAAGAAGTGGAAAACCAATAATTATTTTGAAAGTTGTTGCATCATATGACTTATGGATATGACATGTATTTATTGGAACACTAGGTACGCGCAACGATATCAATGTACTTTACCAATCTCCTTTTTTTATGATATTTTGGAAGGTCATTCACCAGAAATTAGCTACGTTTGGAATGGTCGGCAGAGTATAGAATACTACCTCACTGAAGGTATATATCCTTCATAGACTGCATTTGTAAAATCAATTTGTTTGTAAATATTTTTCCGGAGTAGAATCGAAAGATTCGAACACCGGGTCGTGTCTCATGAGGAAGGTTAGCCGAATATTATGCATGTTTATTCAATCGCACAAAAAGAATAAAATTTCTAAACATACTAATTCATATGATTGGTTTGGTTATTAACTACTAAAAATTCAAATAAAGCAAATTAAATAGCAAGCAAAGTTGAAAAACAAGTAGGATTTAAGGAGGTAGGGAGTCAGGGATATCCGTTTTTTGGTTCGAATTCCAATTATGGGCAGGTTATTGTTCGGTTAAGTGATTTGAATAACCTACACGTTCAAGTACTCGTTCTCAATAATTCTTCGTAACAAAGAATAAACTAGAACAACAAATTAACAAGTCATTTAACTCCTAGGCAATACAGTTACGAACAAGCCTAGCTTATGCGAGCCTATTTCGACCAACCCCTCTCTTTTCGGTTCTAAGAATCAATTAAAGTAGACTAGAGGGTGGTTAATCAACTAGTCCATTAAGAATAAAAACAACAAGCATGAATTAATCGAATTCAATCAAAACAATTACAAGTTGAAGAGTCACCCTTCAACAATTTTCAAACTCAAGCTAAATAATTGAAAACCCTTTAAAAAGCTCAACTCACATAAGAAGATCAATCACGAACACCCACAATCACAATCAATTCCAAAACATCAATCCCCTATTCCCTAACTTATGAATTTAGCCGCTCATGATCGATTAAACACAAACAATCTCATAAACCAAGACAAACATATTCATGGATTAAAGGAATAGAAAGTCTTACAATTACACGAAATTGAGAGTCGAATCCGATAAACAAGATTGATCCACAAAGAAACGATGAAATCCGGGCTTAAATCTTTATTCTTCGATAAAAAAAAAAGAATGAAATACTAAGAGAAAAATGAGTTTGGGAGGTGAAAACCTAAGAGAGAACTCAAACCTAGCTTTGAACATCCTCGTTCATTTACAAAATCTATATTTTAAAAAAACTGAAATTGCAGCCTCCCCGCGGGCCGCGGTGAAGAACGCCCCGCGGCCACGACCAGCTCCGAGGCTGCGAGAATTGTGGAGCAGAAGTCTGTGCGCTGGGAACCTTTTGTTCGCCGCGACCGCGGGAGAAGAATTCACAGCAGCGGAGGAGAAAAACTGGCGCATCACGGCACAAAGAAACTTGGCGCGGCGCGAGGGTTGCTGCTGACACAACGTGGAGGAGCTGCCACGGCGCGGAGAGAGCATGCGCCGCGGCGTGGTGCAAGTGCAGCGGCGTGATAGTCTGTGAAGCGCGCCCTCAGTCCAGGCGTTACGGTCGTCGCGAGTTGCAGCACGACGTGGCGATTAAAGAGTGTCGCGGTGCAAGATGGAACTCTGGGTCTCAGTACGCGCGTGATGGGCATCACGACGCGCTGCTCGGGCGTGGAGGTCTGGGAGCTCGGGCCTGACCGCATCACTTTGGTCTTTGTGTTCGTTTGAGCTCGTTCGGAAACTGAATTCGACTCCGTTTATCGCTAAATCAATTCCCTCCTCCATATCAAAATCGACCAAGGACTCAACCTGCACACCACATACGAAGAAATACTGGAAAACGACCGAAAAATATAGAAAATACTCAAGCTAAAGGAAAACACATAAAAAACTACAAAACAAGATAAAACCAACTAAGAGACCTAATATAGGGAAAAATAAAGGAAAAATAACTACGAAAAACGCATCGAAAATGGGACAAACAACTCCCCCACACTAAAACCTTTGTTCGTCCCGAACAAAAAAAAAGAAAAGAAACGAAAACAAGCAAACGAGCATGGATAATAGTTTCAGATAAGACAAGTCTCCAATTAATCAACTTAGTCGAGGAGACTTCCAATGTCCAATAACACATACCTCAATTACAACTCAAATGCAACGTTTCGAAAAGACAAACTCTCTCAAGTAAGGATATATAATACGTATATGTCTCACTCAGTTTCTTGCATGAATATGAAATGGGGCACTCAGATTGGTCAATCATCATGCATCACAAAAGCTTGCTTATTGTCTATTCATACTCTAAAACAATCAAAGATCAAGATTTGAAAATCAAAAGGACTTTCGGGATTGCATTGTAGGCATCAAGAAAAGGACAAATATAAAGATAAAGTGATTCAAATAAACAATCACATCCTCAAGCATATAAACTACTCGAATACCTCTCTACCTATCCAAAATCAGGATGAAACTACCCATTCCCATCCATACTCCATACAACACTCGCATATGCTCAAGCTGAATTGCACTTCAAGTATTCGACTCTTTTTTATTTTATTATTTTTTTTTAGGGAAGTTGTTTTTTTCCTAACAAGACTGCAACGTAAGGACGGCCTTCTCTAGGTTTAAATATTGGAGGTCATCCAAGTGTCCTAGAGTGGTTTCTCGATACTCATTACTCGTTAAAGAAATTCAACAAGTAAGCGGAGTAGAATCCTTTCCGTCCGTCCTGCGAGTTCTCATTTACTTTTCAAGTACTCAAAATGCAACTCAAACAAGTTCTCAACCTTTTTCAAACACATATTAAATGCTCTGTCATCATATCAAGTATACTATCAAATCTCAAATAAATAAATCGAATCGGATGACAAGAACTATGGTTTCAGGCTAAACGGTCTACTAATGAACATATAACTTTAAGGTCCAATGAAAAAAGCTAAAATTGAGCAACGTCAAAGAACTGCCTCAATCATCTTCACAAATCACTACTTCAATCAGTTTATTTCAAAATAGACTCAAAGCAAGTTCTGATCAACAACGAATCCGACCAATATCTCTCAAGAAACAACGCAAGGCTCAAACCTCATATAAGGTAAATAAATGTCCAACAAAACGACACATCAAGTTCATCAAGGCATACTAGCCATGATCATCATCACATCTCCTCAACATCATCAAAAATAATCAACCCATCTTAAAATTAACAATGATCCATACTCGAAAAACACATAAACGGTCTCAAGAGAAGTCAACCATATAAGCACATAATCATGCAAAAACTCCCCCACACTTAAAATCGAACAATGTCCCAATAGTCGATCATCAGTGCAAGGAAAGTTTACCCATATAATCAACCAATATAAAAGACAGAAAAACAAAACCAAAAAAAAAACAAAAATAAAGAGAAAGGAAAAGTTACAAACGTACAGGGCACAGTGACTAGACTAGTCACTGTGAATCCGGTGGTGCAGGTGGAGGGTGGAGGTAATCAGGCCCCAAACAACGGTGGGCCTCTATCAGCTCAAATCTCTTGCCCCATTGGGATCGGGGCAATTCTCTGGAACTCGGTTGGGGTGGTGTAGTGTGGCAGTCACTATGACATACTTTCTCAACACAAGCTCGGTCATGTAATGACCTCTTCGCGTATGCTCTCTCACACGCTTCATCAACAATCTGCTATATCGCCTGAATGGACATACATTCTTCCACTAAATTTGCCTGCGGCTCAGGCTGGGTCCCTCAAACAGAAATGGTGATGGACTCGCCTAACACTGCCATGTTTGTTGTCCCCTTCCTCGCGTTGATAACAGTAGCAGTGGTCGCCATGAAGGGTCGTCCAAGGAGAATGGAGTGTTGTTTCCCATTTTTTTTCACGTTACCCATATCGAGCACAACGAAGTCCACGGGGACTATCAACTTCCACACTCGGATAAGCACATCCTCCACAATCCCTTCTGGTTGGCGGAACGAGCGATCAGCCAGCTATAGGCGCATCCTGGTGGGCTTCAAGTCTCAAAGCCCGAGGTGGTGATAAATTGTGAGCGGCATTAGGTTAATGTCTGGTCCAATATCAAGCAATCCTGATGTATGTTCCCCATTCCCGAAGGCCATAGAAATCACTAAGCCTTGGGGGTCTTTTTTTTCTTCGGAAAGTCATGTTAAATGACACTCGCCGCCTCACAGATGATCATCTCCTCACCATTCTCAAACCGCCTCTTATGCGTGGCCACTTTCTTGAAGAATCATGCATAGGCCGATATTTTCTTCAACACATCAGGAGGAGATAACTTGACATTGGCCTTAGCCAACATCGCATGAAGGTCCCGAATTATCGTGCGGTCCTTCTCCTCCAACAGTCGGCTCGGAAAGGGGATTTTCGGTCTGTAGGGGTTCAGAGATCTGTGTAGGGTACGCTCGGGTAGTGGGTTTACTGGGGTTTCTTCCATCTGGATTAGCTCTTTCGGGCCTTCTTTTTCCTCTTTCAAATCTTCGGCCATGATCACCGTCACCGCATTTGCGTGCTCCGGCTGACTCGACAGTCTGTCTTTCTTCAACTCGACCTCAATGTTCCCCACTCGGGTGGCTAACTCCTAGCTGTGCTTCCAAGTGTTTGATAGAAGCCTCACTATTCGCACTTCGCTGCTCACTATTGGCCATGTACAGAAGAATTTTATCCAGCTTTTCGCTTGAGTTTGGCGGGCTCGGACCTGTCTCTGGTGCTGACAACCTTAACATTTATCCCTTGTGTTGCTGCTGATAGGGGAAAAAATTAGGCTGAGGTGGCTGCTGAAAGTTGTTATTGGACCAGGAGAAGCTTGGGTGGTTTCTCCACTCGGATTATACGTGTTCGAGTACGTGTAATTTTCGAGCCGGTTCTGATATCCTTGCACAGGATTCACTTCAGTACCTTGCCCCCCATAGTTTGGCTCGATAGCCATAGGGCACACCTCATAACTGTGTCCCAGAACTCCGCACGCGTCGCAAACATTCATGGCCATAGACTGAATCGAAGAAGAATTTCTAGCATTCAGTAGTCGCATCTGCTCCGTGAGCTCAGGTAACTGGTGAGCCATGACATTATTGCCTAGTCCGACCTTATTCACTGTCAACCTCTTCTCTCTGATGCTTTTCTGAGATGATTAGCACTCATCGTCTCGTAAATTGCAATCATCTCTTCAGTTGTTTTGACCCCGATATCCCCTCCGGCTGCTTGTCCACCATGTATTGCAAGTTCTGGTGGAAGGAGTTGTAGAAACAATTTACCGATAGCCCTGGAGCGAGTTTATGGTGGGGGCACTGCCTCTGAAGGTCCTTGATACGTTCCCAAGCCTCGTGAAGAGGCTCGTTTGGCAGTTGAGCGAAGAAGACTATCTGAGACCGGATATCTTGGGTCTTTTGATGGGAATATTACTTCCCAACAAATTTAGCATAAACTTCATCCCAAGTTGTGAGAAAATACGGGGCGAGGGTCATGAACCAAGCCTTGGCCCCGTCCTTCAGAGTCTCCGAAAAACACCGCATTTTGATTTGGTCCTCGCTCAGCCCGTGTAGAGGGAACGTCTGGAGGACGTTATAAAACTCCTGGAGAAAGTGGAGTCGGTCTTCATTGGGCACCCCATGGAATGATGGGAGCTGATTGTAGTGGACCATCTTCAGCTTATAATTTCGGGCGGTTTGCCCCAACTGGATACAGGAAGTGATTGGCCCGATCATGGGTTGGGCCAGGTTTTGGAGGATGTTGCGAGGCGGTTGTTGTTCGGCCATGTCTGAATTACTCCCCTCAGTTGACTTGGGGGAAAGCTCGTTTTTAGTGTATGATTCTAGGGTAAGCTCTTCTAGCAACTCTCTCAAGCTCTCGTTAACCGACTTGTTGACTGGGTATAGTATACGTCCACTCTCGCATACACTCAAGCAACAAACAGGTTATGAGCACCAATAGTAAAGAAGAGAAAATAAAATAAAAACAAAATCAACGAAAGAATAAAGAAACAAAGAGAAACATAGAAAAATAAAGTGAATAAGCGCATAAAATACATCTAAACCTTCCCTGGCAACATCGCCAATTTGTTGTAAGTATTTTTTTCAGAGTAGAATCGAAGGATTCGAACACTAGGTCGTGTCTCACAAGGAAGGTTAGCCGAAATATTATGCACATTTATTCAATCGCACAAAAAGAAATACAATCCTAAACATAATAATTCAGATGATTGGTTTGATTATTAACTACTAAAAATTCAAATAAAGCAATTTAAAAGGCAAGCAAAGTCGAAGAACAAGTAGGATTTAAGGAGCTAGGGTGTCGGGGATATCCGTTTTGGTTAGAATTGCAATTATAGGAAGGTGATTGTTCAGTTAAGTGATTTGAATAACCTACACGTTCAAGTACTCATTCTCAACAACTCTTCGTAACAAGAGAATAAACTAGAACGACAAATTAACAAGTCATTTAACTCCTAGGCAATACAGTTACAAACAAGTCTAACTTATGCGAGCCTATTTTGACCGATCCCTCCCCTTTCAGTTCTAAAATTCATTAAAGTAGACTAGAGGGTGGTTAATCAACTAGTCCGTTAAGAATAAAAACATCAAGCATGAATTAATCGAATTCAATCAAATCAAATCAATTGCAAGTTGAAGTGTCACCCTTCAACAATTCTCAAACTCGAGCTAAATAATTGAAAACCCTTTAAAAAGCTCAACTCGCATAAGAAGATCAATCACGAACACCCACAATCACAATCGATTCCAAAACATAAATCCCCTATTCCCTAGCTTATGAATTTAGCCGCTCATGATCGATTCAACACAAACAATCTCATAAACCAAGACAAACATATTCATGGATTAAAGGAATAGAAAGTCTTAAAATTAAACGAAATTGAGAGTCGAATCCAATACACAAGACTGATCCACAAAGAAACGACAAAATCCAGGCTTAAATCCTTATTCTCCGATAAAAAGAATGAAAAGAGAATGAAATACTAAGAGAAAAATGAGTTTGAGAGGTGAAAACCTAGGAGATAACTCAAAACCTATCTTTGAACATCCTCGTTCGTTTACAAAATCTGTATTTTAAAAAACCTGAAATCGAGGCCTCCGCGGCCGCGGGGAATCCCGCGGGCCCCGTTGAAGAATGCCCCGTAGCCACGACCAGATCTGAGGCCACGAGAATTGTAGAGCAGAAGTCTGTGTGCTGGGAACCTTTTGTTCGCCACGACCGTGGGAGGAGGACTGGTGCATCACGGCGCGAGAGTTGCTGGTTATACGGCATGAAGGAGCTGCCGCGGCGCGGCGCAAGTGCAGCGACGTGATGGTCTGGGAAGCGCGCCATCTGTCCAGACGTTACGGTCATCGTGAGTTGCAGCACGGCATGGCGATTGAAGGGTGCCGCAGTGCTGGGACCGCAGCCGCGTGGGCTGGAACTCTGGGTCTCAATACGCGTGTGATGGGCATGATGAGGGATCGTGAATTTGCCTACCGTTTGAGAATAGTCGCGCACTCGGGGCCTTCGACTAAACACGATAGGTGTGACTTCAACGGTTGTATGATAAACACGCACTACGGCCTTGCTTAAACACATGATTTGAACACTATGTTCCCTTTTCTATTCACTCATTCAACATATCCATAATGATGAGAGTACATGGGTATTTATAGGTGCAAAAATAAATCTAAGCCTAGTCTAGATAGATCTCCTAATCCAAACAATAATATAAATCCTAAACATATTAGATCTCCTAACATTTTCTACTAATAAAATCCTAATAATGCTAGAAGTAAATAAAAGCAATAAGGAAATAGAATCCTAATTAACTAGCAAGTCTTGAACTCCAAGTTGCTTTGCTTGCACTCCAAGTTACACGCGCAAGACCCCTAGCCGCCTCACATCGTGCGCCGCCCGTCATTCCTCCTCGCGCGCAGACTCACGCGCACTTGCGTCGTACGTCGCCTCCGCTTCGCCTACTCCTTTCGATATGGGCTTCGCGCGCCTGCACTATACTCGCGTGCCAATGCGCTTGCCCAGTGCTCGCCGTCCATATCGCACGCGTATGCGTCAGCCCCTAGTACTCCTACGCCCGCGCGGTTTGGGACTCCCGCGCTTGCTCCCCACTCGCGTGCCTAATTGGTCGGAAAAAGTGTGTGTTTTATATATTTATTAGCGTATTTTATATGCTTGATTTTATCGCACTTATATATTTTCTGACTTATTTATTTATTAGATGGATTTGAATGCTATGATATTTTTATGTTTCATTTTTAGGATACTGGAGTAATTTTGTAGACGGCGAATCCGTGAACGATGGGTAAAAATGGGCCATAAGGTGCTAGATTTATGAGGAGTTGAACAAATTCCACTAATTAATTCACTTCATTTGGGCCCACGTAATGAGAAGAAATTGGCAAAGTAAAGACATGTACCAGAGATGATTTGTTACATTGAGAGAAATTGATTGGAAAGTGGGAGTTTTGAATGGGCTGCACATTGAAGACATTGGTTGCAGGCCCAAACTTATTGGGGGAATAGTTTTAATTTCCTGGGGACATTCACGCCTTACAGAGAGGTCAAAAGGACTTATTTGGGAACATATATACACGCAACGCAAAGAGGATTTATTTATGCAAACAGAAGGCCGCCACGCAAAATAATTATTCACGCAAAGCCTGGGAGCTGCCACACATATAGACGCGAACAAAGAACGGAAGAAAAGGAGAGGACATACGCACGAACATACACGGGGAATCCAACGGAAGCGGAGGGAGACGACACCCGCACACGAAAGGGGATAATTCTATTCCATTTCTTTTATTCTTTATTATGTTAGAGTAGTTTTTATTCTAGTTCCGGGGATGTCGAACCCTACGACTTGATGATGTTTGATTATTTTTTGTGGTTGATTATTGAGTTATCTCTTTGGAATTGCTTGTGTTATTTTGAATAATTAACCATGATGTGTTGAGTCTTATTTAGATTGATCACCTAGATTAGGCTTTACATATCTACACCTGAATTAGGCCTTCAATCCGTAATTGTTGATGTCTTTAATTCGCAAGTGGTATCCGGAAGATGGTAACTAGCGGGGATAACATGGCCTATTTAAGTGAACAAACGCGGTTGAGTTCACTACTTAGTCTACCCTATTTTTCTAATTCGCAAAGCGGCTGATTATATTAAATCTAAGAAGCATTTTCTAGACTGTACAAGAAGTCAGGTCTAATCGTAGCGTCTCGCGGTTAGATTAAAAATAAGAAAAAATTCGGGTAACAGACCGTGTCGTTACCTAGGGCTAGTAATTTCATAAGATAGCGAGATTTGATACCAAAGTTGATTAG